AGACTGTTATGTGGTAATATCGATTCTATGTTTCAAAGTTTTATGATATCTTAATTATACTTGAGACTGTTATGTGGTAATATCAATTCTATGTTTCAAAGTTTTATGATATCTTAATTATACTTGAGACTGTTATGTGGTAATATCAATTCTATGTTTGAAAGTTTTATGTGATATCTTAATTGTTTTTGTGACTTTTATGTGGTAATATCGATTCTATGTTTGAAAATTGTATGTGATATGTTGATTGTGTTTGAAAGTACTGAAAGACATGCTGTTATTAAGTTTGAATGATTTGGACACGTTGTTGTTTTATGTTCAAAATAAGTGAAGCGAATTGTCTGTTTATGAAAAATATCCAATATGTGAAGTAGTTAGGACGAAATGTTATAATCGGTACTAGGAGTATCCAGAGAATTTTGCGGTGTAGATAAACCGATACGTTAAACTTAGTTGTATCTTTTAAGTGTACAATCTTATCTTGTAGATCTTCGAACACACCCTGGCAGATATTCTGAGACATGGTTGCCAGGACAACGACAAACTCTACTCGAACCACTTTCACATTCCCTTACTAAACTTCTACATCTTGATCGTGAAACTCAGTGTAGGCATCAACCTCGACCCAAGACAAGCCATCAACATCAACTGTCAAGACAATTCTTACGTCATCAAACCTCAAGCCTTTTTGAGGGTAGGGGGAGAAGCAATGGGAAGAATGTTGGTAAGTCCTTTTAAAAAAGAATAAATATTTAGTTTTAAGGTTTGTTTATTTGTTTAAAAGCAAAGCCACGTTAGGTTATCTGCTGTGTCCACAGCGGAGAATCGAACCCCGGATTTGATAGTTGTAAGTCCGGAGGACCTGCTTCTAAGGAAATGCTTCCCTGCTACTAAAAAGTAACGCCAAAAGTAATTATGTTAACGTATATAACTTTTGATATATTAATTTATTTTCCTAACAAACAAAATTTCTACTATAAAAAGCAAAAAATTAATAAAATAATAATAATAACAAAAAACAATTGAGATAACTTAGTTAGGTTACTGCCAGGACAACATAAATATAATTTAATGTATGAACACAATTAACTTTCCGTCACGATGTGCAATTGTCGACTTTCACGGTTTCACCAACTATTATGTTTCCACCAAAGTGTATTTCAAATATGAAATGTAGTTTCTGCTCTGAGTGTCTGTAAAATTCAAAAGAATATTATCCTAACCTAAAAAGAAGTAATATCATTGAAGTTTTAGGTTTAACTGAATTATAAAATATTATCGTTAAAGTTTAGAGACTAACAGGTCTATAAGATATTCACTAAAAGTATAAAAATGAAATAGAAATATTTTACATAAAAATTAACATATAGAATATTTTAAGATTAAGGAATTATATGATGTTATGTTGTTCATTGATTAATGTTAAATATTTTACTCTGCGCCCCAGACGGTGAAGGCTGGAATTAACGTTGGAATGACTCTGAATTATTACCTGAAGTCTGATATTGAGCCTGTACCGTCTCTGTGTTACGATTTTAAACACGGATTTGATCCAATGGAAATTGGGGTTGAGGCCTGGTACCAACGATGGGGCTTTCACAGTGTAAGTTGAAGTAGTAGATAATAATAGTTATATAGCTGCCATCTGTTGGTGAATATGTACAGTAAACAAAAACACGTAACTGGATATTAACACGCGTTTTTATTTGAATAACTAGTAGCTAACTACTGATATTTCAAGTACAGATTCGTGCTTCTGAATTCATATTTCCGCTTTTCTGAACTTTATTCGGTTTTTCGACCTGCTATTATTATTCGTATCTTATCATTTTTTTTTCTTTTCTATCAGTTACTTACTAATTTAAGTTAGCTGTAACAATTAGACTGAAAAGCTACACGTGTGGTTTTAATTTTACCTCAGGTACGACCGTATCATTAGCACACCGATAGTAGTTTATCACCTCTAATAAAACGACCATTTGAAGAGTTAAAGATAATGAACAATTAGAAAACATAATGAAGGAAAAAACCACGGAAGGCATTACCATCTGAGCACATAATCGAGGACCATCCGTAGGTATACATGATGACAATGGTCCATAGTCACTCTGAAATTTGTATACACGACTCATTGAAGGTATTAAACATCTCATTCGTCTCGGACTTGATGTAAAGTTAAAAATCTTAAGTGTAACATTTTAATTTGGATGCTAGAAATACTGTAAAATATTTATTGGGTTTTGTACCATTTTTAATGACATGTCTTGGTTTTAAGTAGAGCATAAAATTACTTTAAATAACTCATTTTTTTCCCCATTGCTCCCTAGTTTATACCAAGCTGGAGCTCTGTGCGTGTGTGGCGCCCTCGCACTGTAACATGGAAAATAGGAAGAGGAGCAGAATACACCTGGAGACCAAAAACGTGTATTCTTTCACCTGAAGACGTGCCGAAGTACCACTCGAATGAAACTTTATCAACTGTTAACTAACCACATAAATAACAAGACAAAAAAAATCACTAACGCACAAATTGAAATTGTAATAACAGCAGTTCCTAGTATCACCTTTTTAAAAGTTTTAAAACTCCTACTTTTTATGTAAATAATTCTCAGTCAGTATAAATATCAAAACTTTTGAAAGTGAACGAAATTTTAGCAGTAAATGCATACATACATCTATATAGCGATATGTGTTTTTTATTTTATGTATATAGTTGTTTGTTTGTTTGTTTTGAATTTCGCGCAAGGCTACGCGACGGCTATCTGCGTTAGCCGTCCCTAATTTAGCAGTGTAAGACTAGACGGAAGGCAGCTAGTCATCACCACCCACAGCCAATTCTTGGGCTACTCTTTTTACGAATAGTGGGATTGACCGTCACATTATAACGCCCCCACGGCTGAAAGGGCGAGCATGTTTGGTGTGACGGGGATTCGAACCCTCGACCACCTGGCCATGCTGAGCCCTATGTATATAGAGTTGTCAATTCTAATCGAAGACATGGAATTTTATTTTCATAGCGATTTGACACAAGGTATGGAATCTTCATCATAAGACTTACTTCTGTGACCTTTTTTTTATAATTTTTTATTTCAAACAAAAATAACAAATCGAAGAAATGAAAGCTTATTTCAGTTTTTACATTTATTTCCTATAAAAGTCTATTACAGTTTATTTTTAAATAGTCATTATATATAAGAGAAACGAAACTTGAAATTGACATGAATTATTTTTCGCAGCTAAAAGCACTTCATAGATCTCTGAGGGTTTATTACACTACAATTCCTAATCTGTAGTCTGTGATCTTGAACTTGAACTGCTAAGCAAAAGTTGTTTTACAAGTTGTCCAACGGCAGCATATCTAGGAAGTCCTGATATTTCTTTAATTCAGGGTACTCTATAACCACTGGTCAACTTGAGAAAAGAAACAATAACAACGAAATTTACAATCATACAGGTACACCTGTAATGACACAGTTAATAGAAGGTAGCACATTCTACCAACTACAGATATGATAGTCTTAATTTTAAAAATCGAGCCAGTAAAACAAACAGTTGTAAGTTTCTAACTTAGTTGATAACATGGGCGTCCTAAGGGGAGGCAAGAGGGGGCACTTGCCCCCACCATGGAAAATGAGAAACATAATTCCTTCCTTATTCGTTTAGCATATGTATATGATTTTTTTATTCAATTCACAATTTCACACCCCCCCCCTATTCCCGGAACACTTCGCCTATTCCTGGAATAATTGCTGCGGACGCCCATGGTTGATAATTTCAAGAGAGGTTGGCAGCAATAAATACAATAAAACATTTTGTTCTATCTAGTTGTTAATGTCATATACTTTAAATTTCTAAAAGCTGGAAACTAAGTTTTGAGTTAGCAAATTAAAATATAAAACAAACCATTTTTTGTGTGTAACAACAAATAACTAAAGGTAAAAGGTGTACGTATTATAGTGGTGACGTTTTTGAGCTCATCTTACCTCTCGATAAACTTTTGAAATTAGAGTCTGATGGACATATTTTAAAATTAGATATTGTTTTGGATAAAAATACAATAAAATCGATCATGATGAAAGTTAATAACATGTGACTATTCCCAAAACCTCTAAAAAAACTTTCGTGATAATATGATAAAAAAATAATTGGTATAGTTAGAAAAAAGAAGTGCGTAGGTTGAAACTTTAAAAATGTTTGTTTGCAGTTAAGCACAAAGCTACACAATGGGTTATCTGTATTCTGCCCACCACGGGTATCGAAACGCGGTTTCTAGCGTTCTAGACATACCGCTGTGCCACCGGGGGGGGGGGCACTTTAAAAAAAATGACATTAATGTGTGGATTAAAGTAACGTAAAATACTGTCTTTTTTTCATTATACTTTTTAGATGTAAAGAAACATTAATGAATGATAATACATCCGGTTCGTAAATACTTTTTTTAACATGACCATATATTTTATTGGCAGCTTAAGGAAGTGCCAGCAGATAGCGACACTACATAACTTATAACCCAAATAATTGTTCAGGCATTGCAGGTCGTTTTAACTTTCTGTAGCCTTAGCCCTGTGAATAACACGCTTGAAATCTCAGGAAATGACCTAATTTTGTCACCCGGTGTTAAAAAAAAGCACAGTTCCTTGTCCTTTTCGTACCATCCTTCAAGAGATTCTTGATATCTAGTTTTTTATTATAATGATTTGGGTGATGGTTAGATATTCTCTAAGCGTGCGATAAAAATAGATTACGAGTTTATTATAAACAATACAATACGTAGTTTAACGATAAACTTTTAAACACACAAAACAAAAATCTTTAGGGAACTAGACTATTAATCAAACTACCTGCTTTCAGACGAATATAAAATCACGATTATACAATTGTATATTGTACTGTAGGTGCGTTTTAAGAGTGACATAAAATCCCTTAGTGGATAATGGGTGGCAGAGTGCTGCTGATTGGCTGCCTTTCCCCTGGTCAACAGTTCAAAATTAGAGATTATCTCTTATAAACCTAATTTTTGATTTTTAAAAACTTTATGCCAAAGTATGCAATAGTACATTTAACGTAATAAAATAGAAAGTCAACATTACGTACTTATCTGCAATGCAAATCAATGACCATATCCTCCTTTAGGGCCACCTGCAGGCTGTGAAAAGTAATATCCAAAAGGAGCAAATCCATATCCATATTTTCCACCACCTCCCTTCTGATTAGGTCCCCTCCAGACTTTGATGCGTACCGGACCACTTACACCTGGACCTCTGTATCCTCCTCCTCCTCCTCTCCCGTAGCCCCCAGCTTGTGTTTCAGATGTTAAGGTAACCAATAGGATGGTTAATACCAAGCACAAGATGATAATCTAAGGAATACATTGCGTGAACATAAGAAGAGAACGTTGTATTTTCTATCCTTTATAAGTATTTAAGTAGATAGGTTAATAACGTACAGTTTAATTCCCAAGGTAACCGTTAGGGTAATTATCCAGAGTTTTACAATATAATTTTAAAAACCAGAAATATAAATTATACAAAGTTAAACTTCAGTGTTTTAAAATATAATTTATTTTACAAGAAATACACGTTTTACAAAAATAAGCCATATTAAGCTGTCAGTGATCAGACGTGGGTGTGAGTAAATAATACAAACTAGTACTAAATCAACAATACTCGGATGTCTTTTTTATCGTAAGTTTTCATTACATACTTTATTTTCAAAATAAATTCACTTACATTATATACTAAATCTGCAAATATAAAATATATTTGAAAGTCGTATGAGAGAAAAATACTGGCCAGGTGGTTAATTTGCGCTTTATTCTGTTTCTTTAACGTTCATTTATCGTTCTGATGCTTATACACCAATATATTATCCTTCTAGTTAAATCTTTTTGTTTTCTCGAACTTTCGGTTTCTTATAGAATATTCAACAGAGTGTGAAAACATTTATGTCCAATTATTATAAATCAGATATTTCTATATCTCCATTGAGATTGCTATAGAATAACGACAAATCTCATAAAACAGGAAATATAAATAAACAAAGAGTAAGAAAAAGAAGATAAAAGGTAATACTTCGATCTGCGAAGTAGGGTGTAAGCGCAGGTCTGAAATGATCAAATTACTTGCAGGCTAGTTGAGCTATGTGCTATGTGCAGTACGGAAGATTCATTTGTGGGGCAATTTTCAAATCAGAAATAATGTCTCAAATGGTGGTACCAGTTGGGAGCTTCAGCGACATTAAAACATGCTTCACAGAGACAAATATATAAAAAACATGCTTCACATGCTTTAAAAGAATCTGCAAGATAGAAGGTAGAAAATAAAAGTTCTTGAAGATGTTAAATATTTCTTTCAGGAAAACAAAAAGAAATCTATCTCTTCAAACGAAAAGAAGAAGTTATTATATATTTTAGATTTAGTGTACTTTGCTTAACAACTGTAAGTTCCAGATTTCTACACTTTACCCATTTTCGTACGCATATTCATAATTTATATTTGGAGAATATACTGTACCTTAGACATACTTTACACCCAGTTCACGGTTCTATATGGATGATTTTTCTGGGGAAGATCTGGTCGATGAGAATCCCGTTTACTAAGCTGAATTTCTCGCTAGATACTCTGGTTTTATAAGTCGAGCGGTAAAACCTAGAACAAGACAGACATCATTACGTGCTCACCAGGATGTGTCAACCACGTGACAACACATAAGCTACAAGTATTGCGTACGTAGTGCTAAGAAACACGAACAAGGAAAAACAATAAACTTTTTGGTCTCGCTTCAGAATGTGGGTATAAAGCGGAACGTTTAGTTTGTAGTTTCTGTTGATATATATAAAAACTCATGATATGCATGTATACATAAGATAAAAGAAACAGCTTGTGATGAAACATTACTGATGATTATTTTCAAGAGTGAAAACTGAAGTTTTCAGTTCCGTACCCGAAGACCTACTTAACACTTCTTGTGTTCCACACCTAGCACGTTTAGTCGTTCAAAACATAAAAAAAATAAGACTATTATTTGTCATATGAAAAGTGTCTTAATAGGAAACGGAAATCTCTCAATATTAAACCAAACATACGTGATATCTTTGAGTGCTGGTCTCCACTTTATTACCGAGAAGAAGTCCTCCAAGTGATGAAGAAGAGACATCACGACATGTTACAAACATTCGATTAAATTATTTCTTTAATTATGTCTTATTCTTAATCTCTTTTATTATTCGCCGCCGATCTATACACACGCCTTGATCTCGATTCTAAATTAATTCACATAATTGCAATTTATTTCAATTATATTCGGTTAGAAAACATATCTGGGCTTCTTATAAGTTGAGTTATCCTATTATTTCGACGTGTAATGAACTTAAAATTCTGGGCTTATTTAAAAAAAGTGGAAGGGAAGGATCAATTTGAAGAATTTGGAGCGACGTTAATTTGGTCGAGTTTAGCGTATTATATAATGGAGCATCTACTTATGAATTATTATAACAAATACTTGGCT